GATTAATCTTGATAAACTGTCCTGGTAGTGTTACTGAGACACAGAAAGTCAGCCAGATGAGGCTCTTAACCACTTACACCATCTCCACAGTGATTATAATATTTCATGCCTTTAATTCATGGTGATACAGTCGTGTTTATTTCTGGAAGAGACACTGAAGTCCTTCCAGGTATTCATCAATTCCCACAGCAATGAGTGATAAGAGGTTCCTTTTTCTACAGACTGTCTCCACTGAACTATAAATATATCTGAGGAGCCACCTGTACTAGAAATAGACCTTAATTTAGGAAAAGGAATTAGATTAGACTTCCAAACACTGGCAAAATTTTACCATCAGATTAGGAAACATCACCTAGGATGTATGTGCCAATGGCTCACATAAAAATAAGATGTATTACACAACAGAATCCTGACAGATTTGCACTTCTGGGGTCTGACTGAAACTCTCAGCTGTCAACACTAGACAGACACAGAAAAATGAGCCAAGTGTTTAATACAGTGGTAGGGTGTGTGCCCTCAGAGTGAAGCTGCTCATGCCTCAGATTCTGCCAGCTGGCAGCAGGGCTTTGATGTCACAGAGTCACCCACAAACTGCAGAACTGAGCAAGGAGAAGACTTTCCAGGATGCAGTGGTAGAAAGGGAATTTCTCCAGTGTAAACCTTCCACAACTTGGGACATGTCTCATACTCCCATTCCTTGTAGTGTTAAAACCCTCTCTGTTCTAAAGGAATAGAATTTATGAATGCACAGTGAGTGAAAGCATACAAACTGTTATTTGGAAATAGAAACTACTGTTTTAAGTTCTGTTTTGCTTAATTATTCATTATTTACTACTTTAATTATGCATGAAAAATCCCCAATACTTCTGAATTTTCTTTAGGCAATGCAGACACTATGGCATGCTAAGAAAGTTATATATTGAGATGTCTCTTCCTTCCATTAGTCATAAGAGAAACATAAATTACAACTCAGCATATAATTCTCTGCTTCTTCACACAATGACTTAAAGTTGATTGAGCACAATTACTTTGTACTCAGCATATTTACTGCTGTATAAAACTCTCTCTCTCTCATAAAGAAAAGGCATCCAGGCACTTTTCTGAACAATAGCATTGTTAAACATTTTTTGATGAGGCTTTTTGTGAAAACATGTTTTATCTTTCAGTTGTTTACAAATCACTTTAGCAGTGGTTTGGGAAAGTGCTTTAATGTGTACTAATGTCCCTTCTTGAGCAGGAACTTTGCCTAAGTGCTTTTCTGAGCAGAATCCTGTTTATCTGTCCATTTATCTGAGTTCAAAATTAGGATTTATTCTGGTATCTCAAAACACTTTGAAGCAAAGCTATTGAAGAGTAGCACATAGATCACTTCCCTCATCTCTCCATCTGCAACATTTGTACCTCCCAACACACCCTGCCCTATCCCTGTTTGCCACGCTGGCTGGACAAAACGCTGCTGTGATTGTACAAGACCATAAATATATATATTTTCTTGGCTAGCCAGTCAACAGGATGGCTGAGTGGTCAGTCAGCTGGTGTCTAATACAGAAAGCAACCCTCACGTAGCTGAATTTTGCTTTTCAACTTGCAGAGCTAACCAAGGGCTTGGTGACTGAAGGGTCATTCTTCACAATTCTGTTGAATCTCTTTTGCTGTTATCAAACTCGTGTTGGCTAATGGATTCATATTTATTTGTGGTGCCTGACAGACAATGTGACCACAGAAATTTTGTTTCCTAATGAAGCCAAGGGTTTAAAACCAAACCCATGGATATCAAATTTATCAGTCGTTGTATAAAATTAAAGGAAAATGTAATCAATATTACCAAGCAAATTTTACAAGACTTACTCATATTAAAGTTAGTAATTTTTTTTTGAGTATTTGATCAGGTCTGGCAATGCTTTAGACATCAAATTACAAGAGGTTTGAGGGATGCAGTTTGCAAAGTCTTTTTTCAAGTGTTACTTTCCTTCAGTCTGCTCCTTGTCACTGTTAAAGCTGAGTACCACTATTAATCTTGTTGATACTTGTGACTGCATGAGGAGGAAGTTAAGATTTTAATATTAGTTTTGGTAGGGCTCTGTGCATAATAATCAGCTTTAATCACTTTTTAATTAGTTCACTTCTCCTGTCAGCAAATATTCCCCCTCTTTGATGTTCTCAGACTACTCTCTTCACTAATGTGTCAGAATGCAATTCTTCAGTTTCTGTGGATGCCCACAGAACTCTTCACTGAATTACTTTATTCAGCAACATTGTTCTCCAGAAAGAGAGAAAAGAAAACCCCTAGAAGAACAAGCTAATAATTTTGCATGTTTAATGACAAATCTGTTAATTTCACACAAACCACTCAAAAGAAAAGGCCACTAGAGGGAAGTAAATCCAATACGCTCAAAGAAAAGAAAATAAAATAAGAAAAACCCTACTCTAAATGATTATAGCTAACAGAGTGGTTTGGACTTACAACAGCAGAAGGTTTTGCTCTGTATTCTTAACACAGATATGACAACTGAATAAAACAATTAATGTATTTATAAAGAGGTCTTGCACTTCATGCAATGTGCATACCAAAACCATTAAAACAGTATGTAGGAAAAGACTGCATATTAAAAGGTAGTATCAACATGGGATAAATATGTTGTGTAGGTATAATTTATTGCACACCTGTATCTTTCACATTAGACACATATCAAATGCAAAAAAATGGATTTAAACCAATATCTTTGGACTTCTGGTAAAGCGGTCCTTGTAAAAACAAATATATTTTTGTTGTCATGTCATATGTTTAATCTTGGATCTTTGTTTTCTATGAATATGTGCACAAACCTGCAGCACCGTGCAACAACTACTACCCATTTAATCAGAATTAAGATTATAAAGAAAGACTACTAGCAGTGAATTTATAATAAAACCTCTACAATGTTCCAAAGCTTTATTTCTACAGCTTGCTTTTCTGAGGTTGGATACCCTAGCTTTTTCTATATCCCTTCTTATTTATGACTAAAAGTAACTCAAAAAGATGTCCATTTTTCTCTCCATACTTTCCATCAACAAAAACTCCATGAATTTTCTTCCATATATCACACAACACTGCATTTTTTTTCTTGTCCTTTTAAATATATAGTCACCATGCTTATAGTTTTATACAACTACACAGCCTGTAAGCCTACAGAAATGTTTTTTTCTTTATAACTACATTTTATATATGACTCCATTTCATTTATTACAGCACTTTCTCATGCAAAGCTGTCTTTTTATATCCAGATAAACTGACAGATATTCTGAAAATCTGGTCTTAAATCCTCTGAAGCCTTTCCAATAGCATTTGGTAATGTAAGAATGATTAAAGGAAATGCAAACAGTCTAGAGTTTACTGTCAGCATGTCAAAAACTATCAAAGCATTGGTCTTTTCCCTGTTTTGAGTAAACTGCAGAGAAAATCCATATCCTTAACCAGGGACAGACAGCAGCAAAAGACATTATTTTTTAAAAGCCTACCACTTAAATATCTCAAGCTGTTTTCACACAGCTGTTATCCACTTCAAAAATGAACTGTATTTCAGGTGACCTCCACCTGGGCGATCTTGGTGACTGCATTTAATACCATGGAGCAAAACATCCAAAAGGAAGTTTACATAGGGCAAGTTTACACAGGGGAAGTTTCTGGCACCTCACTTTCTCCCTTTAGTGAGAAAGGAAAAGGGAGATGCAGGTTTCCAACATGTCAGATTGCCTCAGTGCTTCAGGCAATTCTCAATGCAAGGCCTATATATCATTAGGCATCTTACATAATCAGCTCTTCTGTTATCATCATGGACAGTGAGCGAGTGGGTTTTGTGCTTTTTCAAATCAATTTTCATTAATATTATTAGTATTACCATCACTGTCATTATTATCACCATCATCACAGCAAGCTGTTTGTTTTTGTATGCCCAAAGGCAAACGAGTCATTACTTACTCATCGACAAAACTACTCGTCCCAGATACACAGGTAAGCAGATTTTTGCTAGGCTGCTCAGTGAAAGAACCCAGGGCCTTCCCTACAAGTGGAACATAACAGGATGCTCCTGAACATTAGCACTTTTACTTAGCAGAAGCATATCTTCAAAAATGTGTTCTACTCCAAACAGCAGTTCTGCCAGCTCTGTTCCACATTAAACACTTCAGCTGCAGTTGCAATGTCACTGCACAGCAGGTAAAAACATTTCTGGAACAAATGTCAGCAAGGGATAATTCTGAAATAACCTTCTTGACTACAGTTACACCAGCCAGAAGAGAGCAGTGCTATATGGATTGCATTGTTGCTAACCTAGGATGCTGTTTCCTAGCACAGTCAGTATCTCTAAAGAAGAAAGAGTTGCAGAAATAAACAAAAAAAAGAGAGCTCTTAGTTTCCCATGTTCCTCATGAAGATTCACCTTGGACACGAATTCAAACTGAAATGCAGGCAAAAAAAAGCGCAAAACAATAATGCAAAGTCTACAAATAAAGGAATAAAAAAATTCTATTAGGATAGCTCACCTGAGGAAATGGCTCATTCAGATGCAGAAGTATCTTACAGTGAGGTAAGCTGTATTATCTGTGCTATGAAACACAAATACCAAGGAAAGTGAGTTCACTTTCACTCTGCCTTTGAATGGTGGAGTTGTAATGGTTAACCTGTGGTGTTCTATTCTTGCAAAACTGAAGTTGCAAAAGCACCAGACAGACTCTAGTCCTGAAGAATCACTGACACAGCTGATCTCAGATGGCTAAAGCCTGCACTTAATTTTAAACAGAAAGGTATGGGTTTGTGCCTTGTGTAATGGGGTCAAGGGCCGCCTGCCAAAAGCATTTAATGCCCTCATCAGCAGAAGCTGAAAGTCCTCATGGAAAGCACTTAAAAACATTCAGCAATCTGCAAAAACCCCTAACCACCGACCCAGGCTTCCAAGAAATACAGGATCCCCCCAGCGAGTGCCCAGGTGGCAGGGACACGGCGACAGGCACGTGGCACTTACCATCTTGGTCCGTGGTGACCGTGATGGCTGTGAACTGCTTGGGGGAGAAGCTGAGCTCCGAGACGCCGTTGGTGGCCTCGATCTCGAAGGTGTAGTTGACGTGGGACACGAAGTCGAGCACGGTGACGGAGGAGTTGGTGAGCCCCGTGTGCCGGGGGATGAAGCGGATGCCGCCGCCGCAGATCTCGCACTGGCTGGCGTCCGAGCCGCACTTCTTACAGACCACGCTGTAGGTGAGATCCTTCCTCCCGCCCGTGTCGCTCGGGGGGCTCCACTCCAGCATCAGAGCTGTCTCGTTGATGTTAAAAACCACATTCCTCGGAGCGGAGGGTGGCCCTGCAGAAAAGGAGGGGGGAGCCTGGTAAGCCAGTGTTATCTACTTTGGAAAAAAAATTGCCTGAAGGCAATTATTTGCAAATAAGGGTTAATTTCAATGACATATTCAATGTAAAAGTTAAAAGTTGTCAATATACAATCCTTGAAAAAAAAGAACAATAAATTGGTGACATCATAAAAAGCTGAATAATCAAAATAACTTAGAATTAATTCAGAAAGAATTTAAGGCAACACAAAAAAGACTTGGGAACATGAAACCTAGACTACATAACCCAAATTTTCAATAAATGGCTCTTGATGCTGTGGGATACTGAGGGAGAGCTTTAACCACAAAATTTATATCCTTATTTTACCTCTAGTAATGTAAGCTTTTCTGAGACTTAAAATCTTTGATGTTTTGTAAGAGACAAATTGAGTAATAAATAAATAACAGCTTTGGAATGAAGACAAGAGGTAAAATTGTTTGTATTAGTTTTGTACTGACAGATATTTCTTTCTATCTTTCACTGCTTATCCCCAGGGATTTCTTTGCTGCTGCTCATTATCAGGGTTAGGTGGCAACAGGCCAAGACTATTAGGCATAAGAAACAGTGTACAAGTTTTCTTTCTTTCCCACCTGGCATCTCATCAGCATCAGGATAACAGTGAAGACATCAACTTAAAGTCTAAAAGGATGATCCGGAAGCAAGAGAAAAAGTACTTTAAGGCTATGAGGAGGAATGCAAAGACAACAAGCAGGTGTTAGAGCTGTCTGTGCGCTGCCAGAGAACCACAAGGGACCCACTTCCAATTTCCCACTCATCACACAGCAGTCATGGACTGTCCAACAAGTGCTGAATTACTGTGTAGGATCACATGGAAATCATCTGAGGCTTCATATATACACTTAAAAATAAATATATAGAGTGATCTAGTGACTGCCCCCTGCACTGAGTACTGGTGAGGCACCTCGAGTCCTGTGTCCACTTCTGGGCCCAGAAGGGCTGGAGAATGTCCAGAGAAGGGCAATGGAGCTGGAGAAGAGTTTGGAGCACCAGGCTGATGAGGAGCAGCTGAGGCAGCTAGGGGTGTTCAGCCTGGAAAAGAGGAGACTCAGGAATGACCTTATTGCTCTCCAAAACTCCCTGACAGGAGGGTACAGCCAGATGGGGGTTGGTCTCTTCTCTCGGGCAACTAGTGACAGAAAAAGGGAAATAGCCTCAAACTGTGCCAGGGAGAGGTTCAGGCTGGACATTAAGAATTTCTTCACAGAAAGGGTGGCCAGGCAATAGAATTTATTGTCCTCAGAGGCAGTAATCAAATTCCTTGGAGGTGCTCAAGAAACCGTGAGATGTTGCACTTAGTGCTGTGGTCTGGTTACAAGGTGGTGATTGGTCTAAGGTTGTACTTGGTGATCTTGGAAGCCTTTCCCACCTTAATGACCCTATACTTTTATGATTCCATATCAGATTCCACAGTCCAACAGAAGAACTTTACCACCTAATTATTTTTTAGACAGGAATTAATGAAGGGGTGATGGAAGGGTAAAAATTGTTACAGGATATCTGAATCATCTCAATTTCTCATTGTATTACTCTTCCACTTAACGTGTTTCAGGCAAGCTCTTACAGATATATGATTTTGAAAACCAATTTGGATGTAATCCCATAATAAAAATTATTATAAGAAACATGGACATGGAAAAATGTGAGGCCCAATACTTCCAGTGTTGATATATGCAAGATGACTGTGGTAAACACAACTGCTGATCTCTGGGGTTTTTGGGCTGAATGAGTTGAATAAGCATTATATTCCCAGCTCTCAATAAAATCACAGTGCTTCACCAATGGTTGGCAGAACTTGGAAAACTTTCAGCTTGCTTTGCAGCTTTTGATAATTTATAAAACTGCCAACAGGACTTAGGCATAAAGTTTTGATTGAGATACTGGTAAAATTTTGAGTGAGCTTTTCCTTATTTCAGAGTTTCTTAAGCAGACTGAAAGGCTACAAGAAACACTTGCAAATGACACCAGCTAATTTTTACACAAAGTGTAACATTTATAATTTTTAAGTGATGCCTTTTATTTATTTATGTGGCATAAGCACGGGTATAAAACCTGGCATGCTTGTAAATAAAAAAGCTGCTATTGTGTGGGAGTGCTAATGTGAATAATAAACATTAAGCTTTTCTGTGAACTGTAATTCAGCCACTTTTTCATTTCTGGTATTTACTTGTGACTTGTAATAAGAGAGTAATTAACTTTGCCCTGAAATAAATGATGAGTTACCTGCTGGATTTCAAACACTTGATATTTAATATAGATGGAAGTGTTACACTGCTTTGCATTTTTTTAGTGGATAATTAAGTTTAAAATCTTTTGAATGGATGAGCCTTTTTTAACACATGTATCTCTCCAGAATTTATGGTTAATAGATCACCAATTTTCCCACAAAATAACTATGAGGATGACGGCTCTAGCTACTCTGGAAAATAGTCCTGAGATCGGAATAAGCTAAAACCAGCACATGTTACTGCAGCTTCAGTTCTTATACTTTACGTTCAGAAGACAGGAATAATTATGTTTCCTCTAAAACCATGCTGTGAGAATTAAATAATGACTGGGTCTTAACAAATTCCCACTGTTAAAACCATGGAGGAGCTTTAGGAATATGGGGGATGAGCCGTAATAGCACTTCCATATGTGCATAACTTTAAGTAGATGAGTAATCCCCTTGAAATAATTGGTAATATTAATGCACGTAAAACTAAGCAGCTGTGTAATTGCTTGAAGGATTGGAGTCAGTGTTCTAAAACTGGCTTAAATTTAATCTTACATAAACTATAGGTAGTATGACAAAGGTTATCGCAGCTCAAGCTTTTCTGATATTATTTCATCAATTTTGGCAGGCCCAAACAGGAATGAATATAAATCTGGGCAATAGGGGAGTTTTGTCTGCCTTTGTGGATTCTGATTTTCTATCAGATTTTCCTGGTACTATATGGAATGGCATCTATAGAAGAACTGATACAGCAAATAAAATACTTTTTTTCAAAGATATTTTTTCATTTGTACTAAGAGTGAAGGTTTGTATAGTCATGGTTTGTGACTTATTTCTCAGTTGTAAGAAAAATCACATATTATTGTGCATTCACATTTCAGTGAAAAGGAAAACTATGAATTGTGTTAGAGGTGTCTGAAAGTAGATGACTGTCCTCTTGCAAATGCAGGAACCCGCAAACACACTTCATACTGAAGGCCCCTCATGCCAATTTGCATGAGGATTAAATAGCTTTTTAATTGCTGTTAAATTATGCCAGTTAAACTGTGATTTCATGCAAATATTAAGCTGTAATGACATGCAGTGAATCATTTACTAAGATTTAGAACTTGGAACAAAGAGAGACAATTAATTGTAATCCTCAGATTCAGCTAAATTATGTGTCACTGGGCTTTTATGAATGTGGCCTGATTGCTTTGTTATCATTTATAAATTATACAAAGATTATTTGGCACATTGGAAAAAGCTGGCAGCAATAACCCTTCTGCAGACATCTGTATGCAAAGCTCTCAGGGATTTCCTTGTATTGATTTTTAAGAAAAACAAGTACATTGGTGAAAATAAGGGATCCTTTCCTCACAGCAAAATGCATGACTTTGAGTTTGATGAGAAAGAATAAAATACAGCTCAGATGGATGAGCATTATAAAAACATGCAGTTCTTCTGCTGAGATGGAACTCAGCCAGAGCGTGAGTAATGTCCTTTTCTTCATTTACAAATTACAATGAGGAAGTATTTTGACACTTGCTGTGGAGGAGACTGGCGTGGATGTCTTATGGTGAAGCAGGTCTGCTCTGAAAGCAGCAGAGCTGAGTTTGTGCCTCATGTGGTGCTTTGCACCTCATCTCATTTATGTATTCTCCTCCTCTCTGAAGGCAAAGCGCATTTTCCTGTGTGTGGAATGAAGAGGAGCAAACCCAGCACTGCAGAAGTCTGGTGAGGGCAATGCAGTATTTTACACACTTGGGAGTGAAGACTGTCTGGAAAACAAATTGTTACTGTTTAAGTAAGAACTGTCCATTATACACTACTGGACTCAGAATTTTATGTCATTTGACTAGTGAAGTTACAGCAGAAGGGCAAAGACTAACCATCACCTTAGGATACTCAGCATCTACCTGTGCCCTTGAGTTCATAATTGTGTTTTGATATCTATACATGTAGCATAGATAAATAGTGTCACTTGATGTAGAATTATATTTTTCACTTTTCACTTATTCTTTTCCTGTGAGGCAGGCAGGAAGAATGGAAGCCAGTGACTGCAAACCAATACCTCAAGTCTGAGCATAATGTTAAATTGCAAAAAAGTGTGTATACATATAACAATAGAGGCAGTAAAGACCTCAAGTGTGTTGCCTGATTTTGCTGCTGAAATTCAGTGTTGACTTAAAAATAGAGGATATACTTTGTGGCAGAAGTTATTGAACAGAGCATAAGTTTGTCAGGTTCAAATTGTTTAAGTGTAACATTAAAAGAGAGCAATTCATACAACCCAGACAACCAACATAAGCCTGCCTGACCTTGAAAAGATGGATCAATTCATCCAATTACTTTATAGTGGGAAATGTTAGACTTTATGTACAGAGTAATCAGACAGGGGATTAGATGTGATGCTATTTGTTGCTCACTGTGTATGCAGAGATCGCTGCATATACAGATAGAGTACTTGCATGTGGCAAAGAAATACAATAAGAAGGAAGAGTAGCAGTGAGAGATTGATAAGAAGTGTAAGTCAAATTAAAAGAGCCTAGGAGAAGGAGATTACCAATATATTCTAATGTAATTTTCATTCCTCTTACTGAAATTAGATTTCTATTGTGGTCTTCCGCAAAGTGAACGCTCTCCTCCAAGAAATGCAGCTACATAAAGTAAAAATGGGAGCTGTACAATTTTGTAAAAGCACACAGTACTTTCACAGAATTGAAGTGGATTTGAAGCTCATCTAGAAAGAAGTGGATGCCTGTCTTAAATCAAGGTAGGTTTTTTTTCCATAATGCTACATATGCAAGTTTCTCAGTAGTGAGGAAGAGCTCTGGAGTGAGGAATACTGCCTAACCCCATACTGCCTAGCCCTAGGCAGGAATGAAAAGAGAAAACAAAATATCCATCTTAAGCATGGAGCAGCAAATAAAATGGGCACCAATAAAGTCAGTCAAAATGTTTGAACATGAAGACAGTTGTAAGGGGAATCCACTGCTCATTCTGTGTTTCATTTAAGAATATCTCTCCCTTCAAAGGTCCCAAGAAAAATTTATGGTTCTTATATCATGTCTCATATGTCAAGATAGAAATCTGAAAACGAATAAGAAAAATGCAAAACCAAAGGTAGTTATGTAAAAACGGCATTTCATTTCTGCACAGCATTTTCTGTCTATTTAGTCAAAGTTCCTAATTTTCTTAAAACTTTTCAACTCCTTTTTTTTTTTAATAGTAAAAACATGACAGTTTGGAAGGACCAATCTAAATTCCACTCATATCTGTATCTTTCTTTATTAAATTTAAATTAGCCACATCTGCACAGATCCAACAAAAGCAGTGAGGTTGTATTTATGACAGAAACATAATTTTAATAACTGAGAGACAAATTTGAAGGCAGTGGGGCTAAAGATATCACTTGGGGAATAACTTGGCCTGAAGACTCTCCATTACTGCTGATGTGCAAGGTAAGAACACAGTCTGCCTGTCAAGAGCTTCAGTGTCATTAGCAGAGCTGACAATTAGTGAAATAATCATCACTGTAGGTGTAAGATGAAATCACCTGCTGTGCCAATCAATGAAGTACTGATACCTTGCAGCCTAGGCTGAATAGGAGACAGTGCATGGTGGCACTGAACCAAGAAACCAGAATGTGCTTCACTGTCTCCTTTAGTTCTTCCTTCTCCCAAGTTGAGGTGAGATGAGGCACTGATATCCTGTTGTGGTTGATTTTTGCCCTGCCTCAATTCACTCAGTTACTTTGGCTGACATCCTCAACAGGAATGTGGAGGTCTGACCAAGATTTTCCTGACAATTTTCACCCAAAGCAGCTCTCTGCACTCACATTTAAGAAATCAGCAGGGTGTTGAAGTAACTGCACTCTGATGCCACAGGGCTCTCATGCTCCTCCCTACCTTATCAACATACCAGGATATCAGGGCTTATAATTGTGCCCTGAAAGACAATTATGGAATCACAATGCCACATTTAGTAATTTTTTCAAAGAACTCTCTTTTGGCAATGAAAAGTCAATGACTTACAAATAATATGGAGCCACATCTGCATAATGTATGAGTGAAACCCTCTTCCCAAGCATGAAAGTGTCAAGAACACCTGGGATGTTTTGGCTCTGGGAGTAAGTTTTGTGCTTGAGGCACTGATTTGAGTGGAATTTTTGTAATCACCATTTTCCCATGGGAAGCCTGAAAGGATGCAGTTTATTCCCTCACAAACTTCATGCAAAATGCCAGGCCCATGTGCTCTGCTCCAAAGTGAGCTGGGACTGGGGACACTCTCTGAACCCTGAGCCCCTGAGCAATCCAGAGGCTGGATTTCCTTTCCCCCTGAAAACCTTCTGGTTAGATTAAACAGTTTTCTGCCTTGGGTCTGAGGAGTGCCATTTTTAGTGACCATCACCCTCATGAAGTGGATGGACAATGTCTTGGTTTCGGTAATGACCTCAGTGCCTATGAATTTGCAAATCAGCTTTAAATTCTCATGTCTATTCTAAATTTGCCCAGTCCAGTGTCATTGGAAAAAGCAGCATGAGCAGAGGAAGTAGCTCAATTCAGTCAGCTCAGTTATTTTTTCGTGATGCTGCATGAAACATCCCAAAACACAGCTATGCACTGATGGTTATTGCAACAGCAACTTTGTCTTTAGGGCTTTATCTCTTAAAATTTTTGTATACTTAATCTGTCAAAATACTTCATTAATTTAACATGTTAGTTTTTTAGAATTCTCTTAATTGTGGCTATTAAGTACCAATATCAAATCTTCCACCAAAAGAATTAATAAAGTGTTATACTAAAAACCGAGTGTCTTAGAGGATTCTACAAAATCTTTAATCACCTTATTAAAAAAATTATTTTCATAGCTTATTAAAATATAGTATTTTGCACACAGCTTTTCAAATACTGCTGTTTGTTCCAGTTTTGAGATTAAACAGATATAGTTGCTTCACAATCAATAAATTAATCCCAGTGAGTAATGAACCATGAATGAAAATCTATAAGAAATATTTTATTAAGTGGTAAGAAAACTTATGCTATGTATGTCTAGACATAAGCTCATTGATCAAATTAATAAATATCTCTTAGAATTTCTGTCCCCAGAATGGTGGACATCAGGCTTATTTTAGGGACAAATACAGGTTAGTCTAAAATCACAAAATTATGTATTCTAAAATTCATCAAAAAACCTTAATGAATTTTCATTATCACAGTTGCATAAGAGGGAATAACTCTCTGTTAAAAGAAGGTGATGGTGCAAGAGGTTTAAATTATATCTCGTTCTGATTTGTTACATTTTTTCCCTTTCTAAAAATTATTTTCTTGTCTTTTTAGAGTATTTAGTTTTTATTTGATTGTGTGGGGATATTTGTCTTATATTTTTCATTTAAATCTGAGGAGACAGTGGAGCATGTTACATCAGTGTTTTTCTTTACACGACTCCAGCTCTTTAAAAGTTTTTGCACTAGCAAATTTTAAAGTATATAAAATGCACATTACTGGTAGTGAAAACACCATACTGTTATCTATATTACAACAATTACACTTCTTTCTGTTACATCTCTGAATTACAAGTTCAAAAGTCACCAAACTAAGAAATCTGGGTATGTTTACAGTTATCTAGACACTAAGCAGAAATATGCCATTTGAATTTTGATTTTAAAAGTCTCTTTTGATTAACAGGAATGGAATTCTTCACAAACTCATAGTTTGGGGTTGTTTTTTTTTTTTTAAATACAAAATCAAATAGAGGAGGCAACGGAATTGCCAACACTGGTAATGATCAGACTTACGGGTACATGCCATAGTGGGTGGGTCCTTCTCAGCTCTGAAATAACCTTTCTCACACTGACAGACAGAAGTTGCTTCTATGTGAGTCAAACTATGTGGAGGGCACTTGGAGCACTTCACATTTCCAGCAAATGCTTTATAGAATCCAGGCCTGCAAGCTGCAAAGTAAGAAGATAAGTTTCATTAATAGAAGAACATTTTGACCATAAATAAAATCTGTTCCAGGCAGTAATAATGCTGCTGCTTTCCTTTCCAATCTAGACATAGACGCTTTGATGATACAATTATTGACATCTTTTATTTTTGTATATGGACTTAAAAGAATAAAAATAATCTGTTCTTGGTATATAATAGGGAATTGTTAAGAAAGATAACCCCAATTTTTAGTCAGGCCTCAATGCTGCTTGAAATCGTCTCTAAGTGACTTCACTACTATCACTAAACATTATTTATATTTTATCTACATGTATTAACCAAACAGAGTGAGATAACTTCTATATCTGCCAGAGCTGTTAATATGGCTTCCTTACTGAAGTAATGGACAACTTGCAACACCTAAAATATTTACCCCCACAATTCCTTGATGAGATAGGGATGACATCCCCAAATATTTATGGCTGGCCTGATTTGCCTACAGCACCCCAAAAAACCTCTGAGAGCAGGGCGACATCAGCTGGTCCCTGTTAGCATGAGAGGCTGGAGGATGAGGAAGGGATGAAGGAAGAGATGAAGGAAGGAGACTCTGACACTCTCTAGCACAAACCTTCACAACCTTCCTGACTGGGTTAGGAAACAACCTGGAGAGCAGCCAGCCTTGGGACAGGGAATGTTGGGATGCTCAGAGCTCATCACTTCCCCACTTGCTGGGAGCTGGGGTCCCTGCTGTTCTTAACCACAGCAAAAGCTCACAAGCCTTTTTTTGCTGGCCTTTAAAGCAGAAACAAATCATTAAAATAAATCTTATCCCAGATCTCTCGGGTCTGCATACTGAGATATTATTTTAAAATCATCCACAAACTTCATCATACACATTTAAATAGAGATTTCTTTCTTTTTCTGCCAGCTACCACATTTGCACATGCCAAGCATGTATTGCAGTTTCTGTCTTCTGGCTTCCCCATATGAAAACATTAAAAATTAAAGAGCAACTCAGACATGTGCAGATTTTACAGGCTCCTTTTCCTCTTAACTCCTTCAGTAGTACAATGGAAACCAGCACTATAAATATAATTTTGAGGTTCCATGTGGCTTTTTCTCACTTTGACATATTCAAGACTATTTTCTTAACACTGCTAGAAGAAATAGGCAGTACTTCCTTTTCTTGTAATAAGATACAAAAAGATTAAAAATTAGGTGTTTTTAAAAAGTACCTCAAAGTATGCATTTAATGGATTCAGTGTCAGTTCATATTAATTGAGTTATTAAAAGGTATCAACTCATAGATAACATATACAGGATCAGTTTTTCTTCTGATTCCAAAGGCCTTTCTTGATATAAAAGCAGTTTCAGTAGTAGCTGAATGAAAAGGAGTAAGATGACACTGAAAAAGATAACACATGATTGCCTCTCAGAACCCAAGAGCCAATTTTTCAAATGCAATTTCAAGAGCTTAATTTTGACCCAGCAATTTCAGCAGTTCTCCTCCCAGTGTGCTGCTCTGACTTTGCTGAATAGACATTAGAGAGGTATCCTGCCCTGCTGTCACTGACTGGAAAAAAAAAAAAAAAGGATTTCTGGTGTTAGAGATGAAAGGGGTGGGAACAGCAGGGATTTTCCCCTTGGAAGTAGACTGCTGGTCTGATGCAATTGTGATGATAGTGAGTGGCAATTTTCCACTGATTGGAGAGGCAGCAGGTTTGGTGCAGGGAAGAAGGCCCCACTGCAGACACAGGCTGTAGGCACTGACTCCTCTCAGCTTTGCTGGAAGGAAGAGAGGAGGCAAGGCAAAATTGGGGAAAGGATGTGCTTCCCTGCTCCCTCCTTATCTCCTCATGCCCAAATCCTACCCTGATAAATATTAAATTCTTGCTTTATTTCATATGCTACGCTTGTGACTCAAGAGCTGACAATTCAAGATTACAGTTTCATTCAATGCAAAATGAGTGCTCTTTAAAATCCTTATTACTTCTGAAATTCATGTCTGTCAGTTCTGAAATCATTCCTTCTTCCCTTCTGTCCCCCAAACAACAAATTACTTTGGATCAAAAGAAACACAAATTTCTCTTTCAAGAACAGTATTTTGTATAAAATTCAAGAACTTCACTATTTCAAAATCAAACTCAAGGAAAAGATTTATTTCTAACTGAAACAAAACCAAATGTTTTATTCTGAAATGGTAGTCTCTATTGTATTTAAAGCAATTATGTTTTTGACATGGTAAGTCTTAAAAGAAAGCACAGATACTCATTGAAAAGGTGGAGGGGAAAAAATGGATTAAAGCAGATCATTTTACTTCTGAAGTCAACTCAAGTACATCTATCCCTTAAGTCAAGTATGTATCAAATTCCGTGGTAGAGAAGCTACAGGGATACCAGGAAAGCTTTCAATTGAGAGGTTTACAGAGGTATTAACAACCCACTTCTCACCCAAATGCAGAATCTCACAATCATGATTATTGATATTCCAAATAAAAAACAGCCTTTCATAAGCAAGATAAAATAACATAAGCTGAAAGCCCCGAAATGATCACAAGCTTGGGAAAACTCATCCCTCTGGATAACTCAGAACTGACTGCCAGCATTCATGGTGGAACAAAATAAACTGTTATTCTGTCAAAGTCAAGAAATATGCAGGCTCAGTCTGAAATACAGCACTTCAGCTGCTGTACATATCTAAGCTTAGACTCTGATAACAATTATTGTGTTCCAGTGGCAAATTAAAAAAATAATTACTAAATTTACAATTTTCCACAGAAAATCTGCAAATGATTTCTAATGATTGAGTACTCAAAAAAAAAAAAAACCAAAACAAAACAAAAAAAAAACAAAAAAAAAAAAAAAAAAAAACCAAAAAACCCAAAAAAAACCCCAAAACAACAAACCCTCAAGATATTAACAAACAAAAAAATATTGTTTTTATCTGTGTTACCACAGAGTGTTTTTTCTACCTTCCAGGTCACTGGGTGACATCTTGTTTCCCCTAATGTTTTCTACCAGAGGTGACTTTGTGAGTTACTGATTATAGGAAGTGTATGAAATTTGACTTTTGTAAAGCCTGGGGAAAGACAGTTTATTGTCGTAAAGGTTCAGTAATTAGCAGGGTATCTGAATGAACAATTCAGGGACACTACAGGTTTCTCCAATGAAATATGAGCAGCTAGGCAGAGAAGCACTGATAATTTAATTGGGTTAATAAAAGATAACACATCTATAAATGTGCTTTGCTGCAGCTTCATCTGGCTTTGCCATGAGTATTGAAAATTACAAAAGTTTCATATCTGATTTAATTTTCCTTATTTAATGTTGAATAGATGGGATTTAGTTTTGTTTGCTTATTCCATGGCCACCTTTGTGTCTTTTCAATTGCCCAGTCCAGTAAATAAGGCCATGTCTCCATCACTCCACAGCCCTGGGCTCTCCTGTGGAAGAGTCTTTACTGCTTGAGGTTCTTACAGCCATTAAGTTCTTCCCCAGCCTCAGGGGTGCATATTACATAGGCACAAAACTGAGAAAATAAAAAGTGCAGCAATCATCTGACTGGTCATAAAACCTTGTTCCTTAAAAAACCCCAAAAGCAGCATTTTCACAGCTCTGTGGGAGCACATCATTGTCCAAGATTCCAGTTTTCAGTTGTTTCAGTTTCATAACATTTGAATTGACCACTACATTATTAGTTAAAGATGAGTCCAAAGGAAACTTAGTAACAACTTTTAGGCATGTCTGATGCTGTTGGTCTGGGGGTGGGAAGGTATTTGTCATGGAAATGGATTTTTTATAGCTTGCTGAGAACTCATCTATCAAATTAAATCAAAGAAGACGCCGTTGTCATTTACAATGAACGGCAACCATCAGTAGCTGTGGAAGAGGTGTTTTAATCTTTCTGAATCACACATTTTGTTATGCATTTCCACCTCATATATTTTTTTAACCTTGCTTACTGGATCCCACTAATGCCCTGTGAGAGTGGTATCTTTCATATTTGTTACATGCTGAAAGATCTCAATTTTAAAGTCCCTTACCCCTCTTCTATCTGCTCACTTTATAAAGAGGGCAATCCAATAAGGCCTGTTCTATTCTACCACTGTGCAGAAAGAATGAGCTATGATAATATTTTAACCAATTTATATTTTAGTAGAAGTGTTTCAAAAACATAGAAAAGAACATGAAAAAAAGGATGCAATGAAAGTTGGATGCTCTATACTGAAAAATGCAGAATACAATCACAAAATCAAGATTAGGATATTACAGAATTAGGACAATAAAGGTATGAGTACAACCTTTGATTGTGAGCATTATCTGGTTAAATAATCTCATCTTTCTCACATGATTCTTGTTTTATTCAGGCCATGAATGGACTGTGAGGGGGATTCACTTTGGGTCATGTTCAAACTCATAGTGAGACTGTGCAGAATGACTTGCTAGAAACCTGCAGGAGAATCCAGTGAAGAAGGTCAGCCACCACAGATTACAGATTATCAAACATGCTGGTTAGTTCAAACCACAAAAATAAAAGGCATCATGGAATCCAGAAAGCAAAGCTCTAGTTTGATTTAGTGCCTACACAGAGTAAGGATGGGACAGGTGACACCCCTAGAAAATTTAATGACAGAATGAGTCAACTTTGGGGGACAATAGACTGATTTCCCTTTTTTATTTGCAATAAACTTGATAATTAATATTTCTTGGTGCTATGATCTGCACTCAAATGCATGTACGTTCAAATGCTGCAGTCAATCTCTTCTCTTGCCAATATCTCTGCTCTCTAATATTTCTATTCTTAGATTTGGAGAACTGATAGGAGTATTACTCCAACCCTTGGCTTTAGAGAGGAGCAAGGCAGAGGAGACAAAAAGAGGCAGGTATAAGGCTGCTTCTTCAAATATGACTATGTAACGACAATATGTAAATGAAATTAAATCTTCTTCCTCTTTGTGCTTTCTTTTCCCCCTAGTGACTCTTCGTCATTCTCACATTTTAATATTCTGTGGAGTTTTTTTAAT